CTGTTCCAGGAATCTTGGCTCTGTTGCGACACTAACAGTATTACCACAAGCTGCTGTAGGACCCCTGTCCCCCTCCATGGTTGGTGTACCGTACATACTGTGCTGTACTTCTTCGCAAGATTTGGAATGGGAAGTCAGCTGAGGGATGGGGTGGTCCTGTAGGTTGTGGAGCGCATATTAAGCCATTCGAAAAGATCGCTAGGCGAATAGAAGGGATCGAACAAATGTCAACACAGGAGCAGTTGCATCATGGCAGATGGCAGGACAGGCTAGGTCCGCCCGTTTTGGGCAGTCTGCATTTTTGATGCGGTGAAATGCATCAAAGCAATGCGGCAGCAAGTGCAGCACACCGAAATCGAGTCACTTTGCGGTCGCCTTGGGCATTGTTTGGACACCCAACAGCACCACAACGGCCAGCTATTCGTGGGTTGGCTGTATTGTATGTACATACTTCGTATGTACCTGTACTGTACTGTATTCGTAAATACTCCACTGATGAGACGTATTGTATGTATAATACGGAAGATGTATGTATGTACAATACCATATAATTGGCGTGATTTCTGTGCGATGAATCTGTATACGGAGTACCGTACCATCATTGGCTCAGAGTCTCAGACACCCAGGTTCGAATCGTCGATCGACTGCTTCGATACCTTCTAGGCTTCGCGGCTGGTTGTTGAACACACAAAGGGTGTTGGGCGAGGCTTTGCAAGTGATTACGCTCCCAGCATTCCTTTGGGGCGTCATGTATGCAACATCTCTGGATTAGACTGCGTCGGCAACGCTGAAACATTCTGAGAACTCTTTGATACTCACGTCCAGTCGGACTGTCGACTACCTAGGCCGCGACCATGGCGTTTTGGATGACGAGTTCCCTGTCGCTGATCCACAGCTCTAATCGGGTGGCGGCTAGATCGACCAGAGGCTTAATCCGACCGCGCGTTCTCGCCCTTCACACGGATTGCAGTGCATGGGAACTACATGAGTAGGTCCGCCAGCTGATCAGCTAGATGCGACGAGACGACTCTTCTATGGAGTTCTTTGTATGTTGCAGTGTCACCAGGCGTTTGGCCGAGGCAGGGACCGAAGCAAATCATGCAAGGCTGTTTTCATGACGTTCTTGCAGTGGTTGCTTGCAGTAAACAATCTACCGGCGCTGTCTAGTGCCATTTGGAATGCCGAACTGAAGCTCTTATTAGCTGCGAGCTCACCAGGGCACTGGTCATCGTGCTGATCAGTGCGTTCTCTGGTCAAGCGCTTCAGAATTCAGGTAGATGATACCTTACCTGGTACGTAGAACGGTAGAGCACATCACAGCCGCACAGGACTAATCAAGAACCGTACAGGGGAATGGCGCATGGGATACGCAAGCCGAATTGGCAAATCAGCGTCCCTAGGGTATGGAGGTGCATGAAACATCGTGAGCCATGGAAAGCCCAGAGACGTTGCGTCTCCTGTAAGCTGCAACGCACAGGGGCAGCTTCCCTATGTAGCGTACTCAAACCTACGTGCGCCAAAGAGCCCCGGAACACTATAAGGTACTGCTAGTGTACTGTACAGTACACGTAATAAATTGTAGCACCGCAGGCAAGGGCGACAGGGCTGAGTGTGATGTCAATTGTTCCTTGGCGTACAGTACAGGGCCAAGCGCAAACTCGGAAGTCGGAACACGCGAGAGGCTCCCCTTGAGACCAGGCGACGGTTGGAGTCCCGAGCTGCGAGTAAAAGAACGACTGACTGGAATTGCCTGTTTCATTGTGCAACGTCAACTGCTTTACAATGCTCCGTCAACCAGCAATACGCCGACTCGCGCAGCTCCCGACAAGGAGCCCATTCCAGAGCAGGGTCCAAAGCCGATCCCTTCTGTCCCGCCGGTCGAGCAGGACACATGGCCGGCCCGTCGAGAACCTCAATATCCGGCAGCTTTCCGAACAATCAGAGGAGTACCAGCGCAATCGACGAATCTTTCTCTGGTGCGGCACCGTCGCGGGTGTCGTCTCCTTCATCTACACTTCCTACAAGATCGCAGTAGAGCTGTCCAAGCCTGTACAGCTCGACTCAAGTTTGCCGTCAACTGACCCCCTAGCTGGACCCAGCGGCGGGGCGGACCGGAAAGTCGTGGTTTACGACGAGGAAGGACGTGAGATTGTGCCCACGGGCAACAGCACAGTACCAACCTTTCCCCGAACCATTGACCTCCCTGATTACACGGGCCCAATATCCTCATCCTCCAACTCGGACTCAGCCGACCCGAGCACAATCCCGACGCTTACAAGTCCAACAACCGAGTACACTTTGGTCGGCCTTGGCCTCCGCACCGTCACCTTCATCAATCTGCAGGTCTACGTTGTCGGCTACTATGTAGCCACATCGGATATCGCGGCGCTACAAGCCGCGCTAACCAAGAAGATCAACCCGATCGCGACGACGCTTGTGCCCGGCGAGCGCGAGGAGCTACGCGCGCTTCTTCTCGACCCGGTCGCGGGCGAGCAGGCCTGGGACGAGCTGCTCAGGAGCGGCATCCCCGCACGGTCGGCGTTCCGCGTCGTCCCCGTGCGCGACACTGACTTCCATCATCTGCGCGACGGGTTCGTGCGCGCCATCCAAGCCCGCGCGCCGACGGTGGGTTCCCCCCGCGCGGGGACGGCAGCCGAGGACGAGGCGTTTGGCGAGGCGATGCGCCAGTTCCGGGCCGTCTTCAACCGCGGCAGCGTGCCAAAGAGGAAGGAGTTGTTGTTGGTCAGAGATGAAACGGGGAGGTTGAGCATCACGTACGGAGGTGATCGCCGGGCCGGGAGGCAGTTGATTGGCGTCGTTGAGGACGAGCGCGTGTCAAGAGCACTCTGGCTCAATTACCTGGCCGGGAAGAAGGTGGCGAGCGAGCCGGCGCGGAAGAATATTGTCGAGGGCATCATGGAGTTTGTGGAGCGGCCTGTCGGCACCGTGGCGTCGCAGGTTGTGCCTGTTATCAACGCGAAGCCGTAGCTGAGACTACTCTCTCACGTGTACGAATAGCATGTAAACCCCAACCTCATCGGGCGGCTAACGGGCTCATTTCTAATGTTCGTGCGAACCTGGTATGATGCTACAGCACGCCTCTGCAATGTTGGGTATCCCAATCCTAAACCATCCGTATACGCAGCAGCACTTGATCCACCATTCCACCACTCTTTAGAGGGCGCCGGCTTCCTTTAGCATGTCCTCGAGCTTCTTGCCATCCTTGCCGTTGCGCACGACCGCCTCGAGATCGGAGTTACCACCAATATGCACACGGCCGATGAAGATGTTGGGCACGGTGCGCTGGCCCGTCATTTTGTGCAACGCGGCCTGGATGTCGTCTCCGTCGCTCTCCTGGTTGAGTTCATACGCGGTGTACTTGGCGTTCAGCCCATCGAGAATGCGCTTCGTGTTGTTACAGTAGGGGCAGTATGACTTGCTGAAGACCACTGGTTGGCGATGTTGTCGTTAGCCAGCGGCAACAATAACATCAAGTAAGGAAGCGGGCAAATGCTACGTACTGACAGCATTGTCATCGATCATTTTCTGGGCCTTGATCTGGGCGGATTCAGACATGGCGGCGGTTGAAGTCGATGAGAACAGTCTGCGGAATATGAAGGACATGAATATAGAGATTGTCTATGATATGCACAAAGCGAAAGGATAGGATGAGGGGCGAGGGGCAAGTGGGCTCTTTTAAAAGGCTGAATGACGGCTGCGGGGACGGAAGGCGAGATCTATGCCGAAGTCAATGGACGTCCAACAGATTTGTCAACGCCGGTTATCTGGTGGTAGTATGAACTACGACGGATGTCTTGCCAGTGTTCAAACCGTAGAATTCGAGTGCCCGATAAACGGAGACCGTGCTGATTCAACCCCAGGATACTTACTTCCCTTGCACTGCAGTTCAACTTCTTGAGGAAAATGTTAGTTTCAGCTATCAGATCTGATGCCGGGTTAAGCCGATGGGCTTAGAGATTCACGTTTCCCTTTCGGGAACCTGACAAATTCTCCGATGACGCAATGGCCGTTCTGCCGATGAGCATTGAGCACCGAACTGCTGCGCAGGGGCGCTCTACTGAAGTACAGAATGCAGATAGCTCACGCTGACTTGAGAGTATAACGTCAAGTGATGATGGTGCCTTATTCATCAAAAAACTAGAAGCTAATGTACAACTGTAGTGTAGGCTCGCAATGGCATGGCTCATGTAGGAAGTGGAAGATTATGACCTCATCGCTCTGGGGTGGATCGTCCGCGTCGACCTCGTGGTTGACTTCTCATCCACTCGTCTCGGGAAAGCTGCTGAGAGCCTCAACGAATCTAGTTAACGATTGCCATCTCAAGTGGCATCTCGGACGAACCATTGCACCCCTGCCGGCACCATGTTGTGCAATGTCCAATATAAGTGCCGGCGCCGTGGTTGCCACCGCCTGGATTTCAGGTTTCACAGCCAACTAATGCCACTGGGAATATGCCCATCGACTCGTGATATTTGTTCAGTTCTTCGACCGTCTGGATCAAAAGTGAACAGTTGGCGTAACGGAGAGGGTGCAGATGTCCAATGTTGGAACCTGGTAAATGGAATTTGTCCTTCTGGAGTGGGGACTCATTAGGGGACCCACACAATGGCGGGGCCGAGGACCATCCAAAATCCAAAGTTGAACTCTGCCTGGTGTGGAGTCGTGGACCGTGTGGTACCCTTGCAGCCTCGACCGGCTACAGACCGCCACTCCCACTTTACCACCCACATGGAATTGACTCGCCAGGTTGCAGACAAAAGACAGCCTCCCCAAAGAGACCCTTGATTGTCCAGGGCGGGGATCGTCGTTTACTGCCGGTTTTGGGACTCTTGTGTGAGGACAACGCGACGTCTGTCCTAATTTTCCATCAGGGTCAACAACAACGCCAGCCTCGTTTCGTGGTTATTGGCCTGGCAATCCACTCCACTTCGACGCTTCAACTGATGCATCCGGCCAGCGAACCCCGAAATCCGCTTTTTCGCCGCCTCCGCCGTGCCAGGCGACGAAACTGGCTGACATAAACGGACCTTTCCATCTCCATTTCCCTCTCCATAACTACTCCTGATCCTCCCACACGGTCGACGGCGCAAAGTCGTGAGACCAACCACTAGCCGCAAAAGTGGCTTCCGGTCAAGAGACTTTGGCATCGCCTGGTGCCTCGCTCGGGAGCATTGCCACCAACGTCACCTCGGCTCTGCTGAATCTTTCAGCATCGTTGCAGACGTATTGGGATTCGGTTGCCAAGCGTCTCGCGGGCGCTACCGAATACCTCGGGTCCGCGACTGGTCTTTCCCCGGCAGTAATCTACACCACTGTCGGTGCCGTCATTCTCCTCGGCGCCGTTCCCACAGCTATCGCGGCACGGCACGGCAAAGGCAGCAAAAACCCTGGAAGAATGTCTCGGTATGGTTTCTCACGCGGAGGTCTGTCGCCCTTCAGTTCGACTCTTGGCGCAGACGGCGTGCCCGATGTGACCGAACATTACACCTACATCACCTCCGCCGATTTGGAAGACCACGACCTCGACATTCCCCAGCCACAGTACAGTCCCCGCACACATATCATCGATGCATACTCACATTCGGCGCCTTCTCCGGCTTATAGCCGACATGTTCCCGAGGACGATGTCATGCTGATCAAGCACCAAGGCGTCACGTATCCGGAGCACTTCCCTGCCTACTCCATTGGTGACGGGCAGCTGTTGGTTCGCGACGTGCGGGACCGCGTCAAGATCATTATGAACCTAGACGATCGAGCAGCGAAACGCGTGAAACTGTATTACAAGGGGCGCCGGCTCAGGAATCCAGACCGGCCGGTCCGTGAGTATGGTGTCAAGAACAACAGCGAGGTCCTCATGATTCTCGAGGAATCTGGCCTCGGGAGCAGCAGCGACAGCAGCGAAGAAATCGTGGTCGTCGGCGGCCAACGCGAGAAGCGTTCGCCCAGAGTTGGAAGAAGTGGCGGGTGGGATGAGAGGAGTCCCCGTGACAGCGGTCCGAAGGTTAACCTCGATATTCCAACGGATGGTGCCAGCAGAAGAGGTACATCAAGAGTGCGAACCGGCAGGCGGGATGAAAGGAGCCCCCGAGACAGCGGCTCGCAGGTTGGGCTCGATGTTCCGACGGACGGGCACAGCAGAAGGGCCACATCAAGAGTACGAACCCAGTCACCTTCAGGATCGAATGTTTCGGTAGCTACTGCCCCGGCAGGTATCCCTGGTGGTCCTATCGAGAAGTTGAACAACATCGCAGCACACTTCCGCTCGAACTTGCTGCCAAAATGCACCGATTTCGTGGATGGACCACCCCGAGACCCCAAGAAGCGCGAAGATGAGCATCGAAAGCTGGCCGAAACAGTCATGCAACAGGTGCTGTTGAAGCTCGATGAGGTTGATATCTCGAAAGAGGAGGGGGCGCGTGCATGGAGGAAGGAGTTGGTGAAGCAGGTCCAGGCGACGTTGAAAGAGCTCGATGATGCCAAGCGATGATGCCAGGCAAGCACTGTTCACATCTTCCGTCCTCAGCCTGACATGACAGTCGTAGTGCGCTCCTCGGCGCAGCTGCTTGCGAGTCAATTCATTGGTTTGATACGTTCCACTTGGTATTTGTCTTATTGTTGGATTCCTTTTCATGAGCTCTTGCTTCCTATCCGACTTCTGCTTGATACGTCTCTCTAGATGTAATATGCATTTGCATTGTTTCTTTCCCAAGCATAGTGGATTACCTAACGTCGGTGTGGTGTATTGAACAGATGCTCGGTATGTTTACATTTAGAGGCAAGGCAATAATACATTCGCATCCTACGCTCTGTTAGCCAGGTGATCAGAGTTGTGCATTCGGCGTGAATCCCCAGTGGCTAAGGTACCAACCACCCCTGGAGACGGTGAATAATGCAAGCTTGGAGAGCGGAAGCATGCGAAAGTTGGCATGCGGCGGCAGTTGACCGACCCCGGCGACTCATGTGCCCCGTTCACGGCGCCGTCAGATCAGCTGATGGTGGGTCCGGTGAGCGAGACAAGGCAGGAACAGTAGGTCTAACCCTACTCTCGGCCTCAGGCAGCAAAATTGATGCTCGTTTTACCAAACCCCACCTCAACCAAATCAGGACTAGTGCACTTTCGCCGGCCTCACTGCACACGGCTAATTTTCCAGCACACACAAAAAGTGCAGAACGACCATCAACCACAAGGGTAAGGAAGCAGCCAGCTGCTAATCGATCAGGCCGGAGCGTGACTGATCAACCTTTTCCTTCTTTGTTTTCTTCCCCATCCTGCCCAGTCAGCGCGGCAAGATGTCTTCTTTCGAGTCTGTGGTATGTTAAACCTCTCCTCCAATTGACATCAAACTGCCCGGCGATTGCGGGTTGCCCAGGGTTCGCGGATCGCGAGGCAAATCGGGGAGGAGCAGTTGCATCGACTTCGAATCGCGATGGCGCATGATGGAAGGTCGTTAAGCGGACAAGGGAGGCCACAGGTTGCTGACAACAGCTTTGGATAGGTCGTGATCGATGGCAAGGGCCACCTGCTTGGCCGCCTTGCCAGCATCGTCGCCAAGCAGCTCCTCAACGGCCAGAAGATCGTTGTCGTCCGCTGCGAGGCCCTCAACATTTCCGGCGAGTTCTTCCGCGCGAAGCGTACGTTTTACCATTCCATTGCTCGAGTTTACCGGGGGACTTTGTTCGCCATGACGTGCAATCGAATCTGGGGCGACCATTCGAGGCGATGGGATTCCGACGCTGGGCGATTGAGGGACCATGACATGGAGGGCTTGAGAGATGAGGAAAATGGCGGCTGACGATGGGAAACAGTCAAGTACCATGCCTACCTTCGCAAGATGACTCGCTACAACCCGACCCGCGGTGGTGAGTTTTGCGCTTCCGAGCCGGCTTCATATGTCAGCATGTTCTGACGGCCCGCAGGTCCCTTCCACTTCCGCGCTCCGTCCAGGATCTTCTACAAGGCCGTCCGCGGCATGATCCCCCACAAGACGGCTCGCGGTGCCGCCGCCCTCGAGCGCCTTAAGGTTTTCGAGGGTGTCCCTCCCCCCTACGACAAGAAGAAGAAGATGGTTGTTCCCCAGGCCCTGCGGGTTCTGAGACTCCAGCCCGGCCGCAAGTACTGCACTGTTGGTCGTCTCAGCCACGAGGTTGGCTGGAAGTACCAGGACGTTGTCGAGAGGTGCGTACCATGCCGTCACACTAAGGCACGCCATCGTGGGACAAAGTTCGGTGGAAGGCTAACGGAATCGACAACAGACTGGAGGAGAGGCGCAAGGCCAAGGGCGCCGCTTACTACGAGCGCAAGAAGCTGGCTGCGAGACAGTTATCAGAGGCCAAGAAGACTGCCAAGGTCGACCAGAAGACGGCGGAGGCCCTTGCGGCCTACGGCTACTAGAGACAGTGGCCACTCTCACAACCTCTTTGTCCTTTATGCGATTTCACTCTAGATTGGCGCGGTGGTTCAGGGCATCAACTTCATTTGCGTGGATGGCGGGGATAGGCAATGGCTATCTGATCTGACACACTGTGCGTCCCAGGTTTGGGACCTCCTAAAATACATGAGATCAACCAATGGAGACTGAGGTTGCATGGGATGAAGAACTCAAGAAAATACCCGGCCCTGGCGCTTAGGCTTGTGATCGTGTTGCGAGGAGTGCTGCTAAGCCACACCTTACTTCATGACGGCCAACCGCCTCGGCTATTACTCCGTTTAAGGTTGAATCAAACGCCTCACAATCAGCTCAAAGTTCCAAGTTGAACCGTGAAAGCAACACGATTGGGCGGCAAGGACACTAGCAGCGGGAGGGTCTTGAATCGTCATTATCCCTTGTTATTCCTAAGCAATTCACTGCGGGAAGTCTCTTACGGTCCTATCAGGGTCCTGCGACCTGCGTTCTATCTCTCAAATGTTACGCGACCCGACCGTTGCACGTTGGAACTGTGAACGAGAATTCAGGGACAGTGGACCCAATGACGTACCGGTTTCCTCTTACTGAGGATCACATTGTGACAGCCCAGCGAGATACAACGGGTCTGGGCTTCTAAGTTGTCAACTTGAGTAAGTAAAAAGGACAGCCCCCAGGGCGTGTATGTGACTTGGGGATAGTATCATGTTCTGAATCTGAGGCACGTTACTAGCGATGGACGGTCCATATACTGAGGTAGGGAAAGTAAGGTTACTAGTACTATCCGTGTCACACCCGGGCTACTACGGGGGTCACATGTATGTACTATCTCTAAGGGTCACCAGGTAACAGTAGAGAATAAGGAAAAGAAGGAAGAAGGAGGGAAAGGAGAGTGGGAAAGTAGCACAGGAAACAAAGATAATAAATGAACCTCACTCCCTCCCGGCTTCGCTCCAGCTTCTATGCTTCTGGCGTTTGCTTGAGTGCTCATCCGGAATGATGTAAGACACCTGTAATTCCTAGTTCACTGTCTTTTCTCTGAGCATCCTCTTCTGTGAGTGTACCGTTTTGTTTCGTATGTTTGAAAGTCAAAAGTATTTGGTTAGATTGCATGAAGTGACACGCCAAGGCCCGAACTTCTGCTTGTGTAAGGTATGTTCAATGAGAGGGATCCAAACACATGGAAGTAGTGAAAGTATAGAAACATCAAGCTTTTTGCACTGCTCAAGAGCACAGAGCAGACCAGCATACTAACATCTCCCTCCACAGATACACAGGGAGGAAACGGAGGTTTGCTAAAGGGTTGCTGCACTAGTATCTGGTACCTACTACACTCATAAGTTTTAAAGCAGCTTCAACCAACGCACCAACCACTGCAGTGAGCCTATATCATGAGTACAGGTGCGAAGGTACTTTGAGTTTGTCCTAGAGTTGCAAATGGTGAACTGATGCTGAGAGGCTTGATCGTCTGTCTGATACTAAAGTCAGATGAGTTTAAGCCCGCACTAGTTTCCCTTCAGTGACCTACTTCAGTTAGAGTATAGTACCTAACTTCTACCAGCTTGGACTGGCCTATACGGCACGACTGTCAGATGCACTTCCATCATTTCCTGTTTACGGCAGTACGGCTTCATGAATTCTTGACAGACTGTACAGAGTTGGGCTCGTACGTTTAACTCTAAGGTCCGCTTGGTCTGCTTCTCACGCCTAGTTGTTGTGACCTTTTTAGTATAGCCCCAGCGGTGATCATAGCAATTCATCCAATCCATCATTGAATTTCTGAATTTTCTCCCCAATCTCAACGATTGGACCACGGCTAGTACTTCATGCCAATTCTAGAATGTCTTGGAGTCCCAAACGCGCAGCAAACCGCTCCGAGTTCCTAGCTGCCGATATCTATACCTTAACTTCACGTTTCCTTGAATGAAGGCTAAAGCTTAGATGGCGCAACGCCAGAAGAACAATTGAGCAGCTAAGACTCCTACAAAGCAGGCAGATTTCTGAATAGTATCTGGCAACAACTAAGAATTGCAAGGCCACAGAGGAGACTCGATCTTGGAGAGACGTAGATCATGCATGCCCATGGTCAGTACTATTAAGACAATTTGAGAAGGCTTTGCCAGAAATCAGGGAGCTTGGCTCAGTTGGAAGAGCGCAGGTCTCATATTTCGATATGATCTGATCATAGATCAGAGTAATCCTGAGGTCGTGAGTTCGAGCCTCACAGTTCCCATGATCATTTTGCCAAAATGAACAGCCGCCCCCACTTTTTTTTGTTTGTTTGTTTTTTTTTTTTTTTTTTCGCATAGGTAGTAGCGCTGCAATCCTGGTTCCGGCCAGAGATCATATGAAGAAATTCCAGCATGGGAACGGCAACACCGAATGCAGTCTAGTTCACTATGGAGGGAATCGCGAGTGATCATTGATGACTTTGAGTGTGGACCAAGCGCTTCTATTTGCCATTCTCCGCTTTCGCCCGGATCCTCGACTACCCTAGCTGATCTTACACAATGATACTACAGGTACAAGCCCTCTGGCTCGCCTTCTTGTTTTGTCCGCAGCACCCTTTCCCGAGCTGCGCGGAAGTCGGCCATTTGAACCCGCATCCGGCGCTCCCGCAGCGCCATAAGACCGGCCTCGGAGCATATCGCCTTGATGTCCGCGCCGGACAGGTCGTCCTTTTGAGCGATGAACTCCTCTAGGTCAACATCCTCGTTGAGGGACATCTTGCTGGTGTGCAGCGCAAAAATCTTGCGCTTTGTGTTTTGGTCTGGGTTCTCAAACAGAATCTTACGGTCGATCCGCCCCGGACGGATAAGGGCAGGGTCGAGCGTCTCGATCTTGTTGGTAGCCATGATAACCTTGACATCTCCGCGGTCGTCAAAACCATCCAACTGGTTGAGTAGTTCCAGCATGGTTCGCTGCACCTCACGCTCACCACCCGATGTCGAGTCGTACCGCTTGGTGCCAATAGCATCAATCTCGTCGATAAATACGATGGACGGAGCGTTTTCGGCGGCAACCTGTATTGTGTCAGCCGTTTTTCACTGCTATTCGCCCAGAAAGCTTACCTGAAACAATTGGCGGACAAGCCGAGGGCCGTCACCAAGATACTTCTGGATCAGCTCGCTGCCGACGATGCGCAGGAAGGTAGCAGAGGTCTGATTCGCAACGGCCTTGGCAAGTAGCGTCTTTCCAGTGCCCGGCGCACCGTAGAGGATAACACCCTTCGGTGGTTTGATACCCATCTCCTCGTAGAGCTCCGGATGCAGCAGCGGCAACTCGACAGATTCCCGCACTTCCTGGATCTGCTGCTCTAGACCGCCGATATCCGCATATGACTCGGTAGGCGCCTTGTCCAACTTCATGACACTCACGAGTGGATCCGTGTCGTCCGTAAGCACGCCGACAATGCTGACAGTCTTGTGGTGCAGGAGGACGCTAGCACCGGGCTCCAGCAAATCCTTGTCCACAAAGCTCATGATGCTGACATAGTACTCGGGGCCTGTGGTGCTAGAGACAATAGCATGGTCGTCGTCGATCATTTCCTCGAGCGTGCCGACTCCCATCGGGCTGCCCCGCATGTCGTCGACGCGGCCGCGCTCGTCGGCCATCCGGTCGGCGGCATCGAGCTCAGAGGCGGGGGCTGAATTGTCCTTTGCCGCCTTTGCCTTTCGGAGACGCTCCTGATTTTCGACATATTCCTCCTCGAGCAGCAAATGGTCGTGAATGCGCTGCATGCGTAGTAGCCGGAGCTTGCATCGACTGGTTGGGTAGACAGGAGGCAGCTTTGCGGCAGCGCTAGAGCCGCCAGCCTTCTTCTTCTTACGGCCAATACGGGTGGTAGGTCTTGGGGGCGGCTCATACTTGGGCTTGTCCTTCTGTTTGCAGTGGTTATGATTAGCATGCCTGCAGTGGCGACTGGCCTTTGACGACGCAGTTCAACTGAGAACTGTTCGCCCATCCGGCAGGACAAACCTTCTTGTCCTTTTCATCTCTCCCATCCTGGCCTCCGCCCATACCCGACTGATTCTGACCCTACGGCACTTGTCAGAACAACCCAGTCTCGTAAAGTGCCAGCCCAAGAATCTCACCATGGTGCCGACGTGCTGCGACCCCGGCGGGAGCGCGGCGATTGGATAAGTCGCCTGAGTCTAATTCTGCGCTGCGAGGTGTCGTGATTTGTACGGCAGTAAGTGTCGCAAGGCGCGCAACAAAATTTGGATCGTGATGCTGGGGGCTGTGATGTGCTTTCCCTTCGTTAAGTTCAGGTGCAATGTGGAAGCTGCTCGAGCTTGGTTGGGAGTTGCCAGGCGGCAGAGCGACGCGCCAACCATGCACGGACCAGTTCTGGCCGACCAGCGCTTGTCCTTGATTGGGTCAATAGCACTCCGCTCACTGCGCTGACATTTGCTGGAACCGTCCGATGGCGACAATACAACCAAAGCTCCTCACTTATCGGCGGAAACGGTATTCGGTGAGAGCAAATCTGGTATTCGGTTAGCGGTGGGTCACTTGTGGCTCAAACCTTCAACAATCAACACACCTTGCAGCCTCATCGTTGCTCCCTGCCACCGATCTTTGCTGCTTCAACAATTGATTGAAGTCATCACCATTCAATTGAAGTTGATGCAAATCATACAGCTACATTGTAATAGCGAATAAAAGCTATCGCCAACATCGCGAGGGATAGGGTGAAGCGAAATCTATACTCCGTAGAGTCGGGTGCGTTAAAGCCATTTTTCGACGTTGTATAGCTCCCTGGTGTAGGGTTAGGGTTGGAGAAGAGAACTCAATCTTCAATACTACAACGATCGTAGGTTACACTCATTATACTATTACAAATAGCTTCATCTAGTCGTCGCTCACTTATAGCGCAGTTTGGTTCTTTGATTTCCCCGAGGTAGTAAGCCAGATGTGTATGTTCATCTGGCTTGCTCTTCTTGACTGCAAGAATAGGTGGGAAGAGGAGTGTGCGCCGTGAGCTGCGCCACATCGCCAACCGAATACCAGATTGCTCTCGCCGAATACCGTTTCCGACTTATCGGAGACTCTACGCAGCTGGCAGCATGAGCAGGGTGGGACAAGCCTGTATCTATTGTACTCGGCGAACGATTGTCACCCGAGCGCCTGGCGCGGTCATGGAAGGGAAGGTCTGACGCTCTTAGGTACTCGGCCACGCAAGGTTCATTTAAGCCCCCTGCTGGGAAGTGGGAAGTCGCCCGACCTGAGAAAGTTGAAGCAACCTTTATGGTACCTTAGTAACTAAGGTACCTAACATTCCGCTCCGCCATCTTTCATCCCCAGCAGCAAGGTACTCAAGACTGGGGGACCTATATACAAGCAGCGTTCCTGCCCTTGTCTTTGCTTTTTCCATTCTTTTTCCAGCTCGAGACGCCAATACCGTTTCAAGGCCCCGCCCGCAGCGATAGGTTTTGACTTTCAGGCAAACGCATTTTTGCCCCATCTCCCGCACATCCACATCCGTATCCGTTGCCCCTCTACGGTTCCTGTGTAGTCACTCTACCCAAGCCTGTCTTGACGTATTTCGAAGGGAAAGTTCAAGCAGAGCAACGACTGATCAAATCCGACAACTTTGATCATGGCCACTACTCGGGAGCGGCGGATTGCCAAAGAGCTCGCCGACATACATAATGACCAGAACTCGGGGGTGGCCGCCGAACCCCTCGACCCCGCCAACCTGACGCACCTCAAGGGTTCTTTCCGAGGGCCGCCCGACACGCCGTATGCTGGGGGAATATACGAGATCGACATTGTCATTCCGGACATGTACCCGTTCAAGTCGCCTATTATGAAGTTCATCACCAAGATCTGGCATCCAAACGTCAGCAGCGTGACGGTATGTCTGGCCGAGAACGTCCACGAGACAAGCACTGGCTAACCGTATGTCCGCCAGGGAGCAATCTGCCTCGATACCCTCGGATCAGGGTGGTCGCCCGTGGGCACCATCAAGATGGCCCTAATCTCGCTCCGGATGCTCCTTGAGTCGCCAAATCCCAAGGATCCTCAAGACGCCGAAGTTGCCAAGATGATGATGGAGAGACCTAACGAGTTCGCATACAAGGCACACGATTGGGCCGTTAAGTACGCTGGTGCGCCGAGGAAGGAGCATTTAACGCATAACTATCAAAAGGTGGCGGCTCCGGTAGTGAAGGACGATCCGTCTAGGTACGTTCTGAAATCATGGCACGTTCATTCCGGGCCAGTCTGACGCTGACTTCTTTCGCCCCTGGATCTACAGGTACCAAGGTTACAACAAGGATCTGGTAGACAGGTTCGTCAACATGGGTTTCGATGTAGACGCAGTGGTCGATGCATTTCTCTTTGTTGGCATCGACCGGAACGGCGGTGAGGACTACGAGCTGGAAGAAGCCTATATGGGGGATATCACCGCTCGGCTTCTGGGGGAGAACTAAGCAGTATGATTATTTCAAGGCGACCACGGCGCGAAGCCGGGAGGACCGAACGACTATATTCACTATGGAATGTCCATACCACCGCTACGGATTATGGAGTACGGTAACAGGGGGCCTACCGAGGCGGAGAAACGAAGCCCGGGTGACATTTGGCGTGCGGAAACCACAGCATCATTTCATTCAAGCATAAGGAAAGGAGTTTAGGGCAGCGGGCGATATGCTGCCATGGTTTGCTTTTGTTCAGTTAGAGTGCAATCTTCAGCGTGTTCGTGCGAACCGACCGAACCATGTTCAAGGGCTCACTCTGTTTTCACCCCTGCAGTGGCTTGCCGTCTACGGATACTTCGTAGGCATTGACATGCTTGGGACCCGCCGAGAGAACAACCGGCTCAGTACTGCATGTCTCTCCAAGTTGCATCCGATCGACACGACCGAATATTCGACATGCATATGGTAGTAGAAACACAGCACTATTGAATCCGCTCATACCAGAGCAATTAGGATCACACGGCGGATTATGCCAAACCACCAAGCCCGCCCAGTCTATAAGTTCAAGATTCGCAAATATGATGAGTGCACAACCGAAAGCTCTTCTCTGCCTTCTATGAGACCTCCAGAACCCTTCACACCGCATCACACCCATCAGTCGCCCTTTGCCTCGGTGTGTGACTCCACACTATGGCTCTGTCACAAATGAAACAAGAAAATGCACGGAAGATGGTACAAAGGCTGAGGGGCCTAATCGGTGTTTTCTTGCCAAGGGCAACATCAGAGGAGATCCCGTCTAACAAATTCGTCGCGGAGGGCCTTGCCGAGCCCGGCGGGGGACCGCTCGACAATGACTCCAGCGGACTCGAGAGCCTTAATCTTTGAGTCGGCACCGCCCTTGCCGCCCGAGACGATGGCGCCGGCGTGGCCCATGCGGCGGCCGGGGGGTGCCGAGATGCCGGCGATGAAGGACACAACGGGCTTGCCGCCGTTGACCGTGTTGTTGGCTTTGAGGAAGTCCGCGGCGTCCTCCTCGGCCGAACCGCCAATCTCACCAATCATGATGATGCCGTCCGTCTCCTCGTCCTGGAGGAACACCTTGAGGCAGTCGATGAAGTTGGTGCCGCTGAAGGGGTCACCGCCGATGCCGACGACGAGCGACTGGCCCAGGCCAGCCTGGGTGGTCTGGTTGACGGCCTCGTAGGTCAGGGTGCCGGATCGGCTGACGATGCCGATGCGGCCGCGCTTGTGGATGAAGCCCGGCATGATGCCGATCTTGCACTGCCCCGGCGCAATGATGCCCGGGCAGTTGGGGCCTACCAGGCGGGTCTTGCTCTGCGACTTGAGCATCGACGTGATGCGAACCATGTCTGGCCACAGCGTGTCAACGTAAATCCCATAGGGCAGCATTTTCTCCCACCACTAATCGGGACGTCAGGTGCACACTAACCATGCTGAGGGATTCCTTCTGTAATGCAAACCACGAGGGGGATTTCGGCAGCAATGGCTTCCTCGATGCCGGCGGCGGCGAGTGGAGGCCTGGTTATCACATGAGTTCGTTAGTGCGGTTCCGGAAACACGCTGGTAAGTTCGGAGGTAGCTTACGGCACAAAGATAGCCGTCGCCGTCGCACCGGTTTCCTTCACAGCTTCGCTGACGTTGGCAAAGACCGGGAGGCCGAGGTGGGTTTGACCGGCCTTTTTGGGGTTTGTGCCGCCAACGACCTTGGTGCCTGGACAAAGCAGTATGTATCAGATCCAGTGTTCGCTCGGCTACACCGAAGCCATCGTTGCTAGTAGGGAGGTTGAGTTACCATAGTCGATCGCCTGTTGCGCATGGAATCTGATATATCGAACAACGTCAGCCTTTAAGCTTCAATTATCGCGCTGAGGAGCCGTGTCGGGTTGCCAGATCGTGAACCGCGATAAGCCGAACAGTGGGTGGTCGGGACAATCTAGGTGCGACTTACGTTCCCTGCTTGCCCGTAAAGCCCTGGAATATGACCTTGGTGTCGCCGTTAATGCGGAGGTTCGGGATGGTCGCCGCATAGGGCGAGGTTGCTGAGCTGTAGCTCCTCTGGGCGAGCTTGCGCAGGAGAGCGCCGACGGGCCGCGATTGCCTCGCGAAAGCCTGCATCTTGCTGTACCTAGAGTAAAGGAAACAGCGGGAAAGGGGAAAGGCAAGCCTTTGGAGAGGGAAAAGGAAATGGACTGGAATCCAATGGGTGCGTGCTGACGTCGCTGTCGTTCAATGCTCCGTCATTCTCCAGAATAACATAACGTTCGTTTAGCGACCCTGCTCGAAAATGTCTCCAGCTCTCCGCCAACAGGGTGCGCCATCGTCTCGCAGGGTTCGATAGGCGTTCTGATTGGCGCGAGCAGGCACAGGCTGACGCACTGGGCAGCAGCGGGGGACGGTTTTTCCGATCGGCCGGATCACGGGCCTCAGCGAGGCGATCGATGGAAGCCCCACCATGCACATGCAAGCCGACCGAAGCCGTGAAGCATTCACCATGGGATTTTGCCCCACCAAGATTTATTGTTCCAACACCTTAAGCAGTTGGGAATTTGTCGCAACAAGCGCGGGGACAGCAGTTCTTCTAACAAGAGCAGTAATTATTCGGAACAAACTTGGAGACTTGACGCTTCATGATGGCCACCACAACGGTAACTGCGACAATACGAAAAAAAGAGGCCAATCTGCCGCCAGAAAACGAGCGCTTCCTTCGCTGCTGCGCAGACATCGCGAGGGCTCTCATCGAGGACCATGAGGCGGCTCAGGATTCCACGCGGCCGCGCAGGGACATCAACCTCAACACCCTCCGATCCAAGTTTGCAAAGAAGCACAAGATCAACAATGTGCCGCCGCTCACTGCCATTATCGCTGCTGTACCCGAGCACTACAAGAAGTACATCCTGCCGAGGCTAATTGCCAAGCCTATCCGTGAGTCTATCGATCTCCGGTAACATCAGGTTAGCATGGACGCGTCTAGCTTATTCGATTCTCTACCAGGCACATCCTCTGGGATTGCAGTGGTGGCCGTCATGTGCAAGCCACACCGCTGCCCCCACATCGCATACACAGGCAACATCTGCGTTTACTGCCCTGGCGGTCCGGACTCGGATTTCGAGTACAGCACACAGTCCTACACTGGGTATGAGCCCACTTCTATGCGTGCCATCCGGGCGCGGTACGACCCGTTTGAGCAGGCGCGCGGCCGCGTTGACCAGCTCAAGGCGCTGGGCCACTCGGTGGACAAGGTCGAGTACATCATCATGGGGGGCACCTTCATGTCGCTCCCGGAACCGTACCGGGACGAATTCATCTCGCAGCTGCACAACGCACTGAGTGGGTATGGCACGCTAAACGTCGACGAGGCTGTGCGGGCCGGCGAGCAGAGCAACATCAAGTGCGTGGGCATCACGATCGAGACGCGGCCCGACTACTGCCTGCAACCGCACCTCTCGGACATGCTGCGGTATGGGTGTACGCGGCTTGAGATCGGCGTACAGTCGCTCTATGAGGACGTCGCGCGGGACACTAACCGCGGACACACCGTCGCGGCCGTGGCTGAGACCTTCTGCCTGGCCAAGGATGCCGGGTTCAAGGTGGTCAGCCACATGATGCCGGACCTACCGAACGTCGGCATGGAGCGTGATCTGGACCAGTTTCGCGAGTATTTCGAGAACCCGGCGTTTCGCACGGACGGGCTCAAGATCTACCCAACGCTGGTTATCCGCGGCACGGGCCTGTACGAGCTCTGGCGGACGGGCCGGTATCAGAACTATACGCCCAACGGGCTGATCGACCTGGTGGCGCGTATCCTGGCCCTCGTTCCCCCCTGGACCCGCATTTACCGTGTGCAGCGCGACATCCCCATGCCGCTGGTCACGTCAGGCGTCGAGAACGGCAACCTGCGCGAGCTGGCGCTGGCACGCATGAAGGACTTTGGCACGACATGCCGCGATGTGCGCACACGCGAGGTCGGCGTCAACGAGGTCAAGCACAAGATCAGGCCCAACCAGATTGAGCTGGTCCGGCGGGACTACACGGCTAACGGCGGGTGGGAGACGTTCCTGGCGTATGAGGATCCCAAGCAGGATATCTTGGTCGCGCTGCTCCGGCTGAGAAAGTGCTCCGAGAAGTACACGTTCCGGAAGGAGCTCGTGGGTCAGCCCACCAGCCTGGTGAGGGAGCTACACGTCTACGGCATGGCCGTGCCCGTCCACGCGCGGGATCCGAGGAAATTCCAACACCAAGGCTTTGGGACCCTCCTGATGGAAGAGGCGGAACGGATTGCCAGGGACGAGCACGGCAGTGAGAAGATCAGTGTCATTTCCGGCGTTGGGGTAAGGAGCTATTACAGGAAGCTCGGGTACTGGCTGGATGGCCCCTACATGAGCAAATGGCTGGATGGTAGGCCGGGGCCCGAGGAGTAGGCTGGTTTAGTAGACCCCGGCAGGGTTCTGAAGCGGGTTGGACGACTCAAGGTAGGCCAGGTGCTCAAGTTTGCATATTGGCGTTCCGGCTGTGCTTGGATGGCTCTGGGCTAAGGTCATGACACGAAAAAAAGAGGAGGCGTTGGTGGTGGTGGTAAATGCGTTCATTGAACTCTGTTTACATATGTGTAGATGGCCAATGAAAACAATGTAAGTGCAACCGACCTGCCCCTTGCCCCCTTCCGCCCAGGCCGTCCACTCCGAGCTGTTCCCCCCACTTCAGTGGCAGACCGACCTCCCTCTCCGCGGCTTTCTGGTATGCCTGACGCTAACCAGAAACACCTTTGAAGGCTAGAGAAGAGCTACAACTTAGGTTCCCTAAAATATGGCAACCGCATTTGGCGGTGACGCAACCAGACCGGGATGGTTCAACGGCACCGACGTCAACAGGAAGCTGTACTTGCCCGTTTTCTTGGCGTACTCGCCCAGCTCTTTGAGGTCCCAGAGCTCGCCGATGGGCATGCCGAACTGGTTGAGGAACCAGGAATGCAAGACTGTGGGGTTGCAAGTCAGTGAATCTTCTCAACACAGCATCTCTCCTAGTAAAACTGACCCAATTCCGTCATCGCAGCGGGCGTTCCGTCAGGATTGACGGGCGGGAGCGCCTCAAATCCGTGCGCGTCGCCGGCCACGGCCGCGAGCCGGTGGTTCCACACCCAGCGCGCCGTTTCGACGGACCCGTGCACGCCGGACAGCGTCCCCGCGGCGAACTTGGCCATGTCCTCGGGCTTGGGCGCCTCGAGGATCTCGGTGTAGCCCGTGCGGACGATCAGGATGTCGCCGTGCCTGAACTCGACGCCCTGGTGCTTAGCGACCTTCTCAAGATCCTCGACCGTGATGCGGTACCCGTTCAGCGGGTGGTACGGCTTGCCCGTCGTCTCCTCGTAGTAGCGCTTGAAGTCGATGAGCACGCCGCGCCCCACCACGGCGCCGCGCGAGTGCCAGTGGTCGATGGTCGGCAGGGTGTTGGCGGCGGTGGATGTGGCTTCGAGACCTTCCTGCGTCGGCTTGTGGCCGTTGTAGGTGGCGCCGTCCTTGGTGACGTGGCAGAGGCTGTCCCACTGGCTGCTGTACTGCGTGTTGATCTCGAGCTCGTCGTCCCAGCCTTCGGCGTCCATGCCGAGGTCCCGCAGGCGTTTCGGGCGGTGCACAGGGGCTTTTCGGTAGGGAAAGGGGACCTTGAGGCCGTTCAATGGCCAGCTGTCGAGTTCACTGTCAGCAACTTGTGTGGGTGGTTTGTTGAGCTTAAGTATGTTTTGCCCACTTGAGAGAGATGGAGACTCCATCCTTGACCTCTGCGGCGGCGGCGGCCACGATTTGGGGAGTGAGGAAGTTCAGGGTCCCAAAGACATCCTTCTTGCCGTCCTTGTCAAAGACACCCCATGCACAACCCTGAGGCTGTCCATCGACTTTGGGCAAATCGTCAAAATCTGGAACTGCGCTCGGGTCCATGGTGGGCAAAAGGGGATGAGGACTTGCGAGTCAGAAGTTGAGAATTCTGTGCCCAGGGCTGTGAGGTTGTTAAGGCTCTCAAAGGGAACTACAGGATTATGCCACCCCTCCAAAGGGGGAGGGGGCTGTGGAAACATGGTATCTGATCTTTACTGATGAAGACCCCTCCAAGGCTCCAACCGTCCAACGCGGGGCGTTGGAACTTGGCGGATGTGGTTCGCATGTTTGACGCGATGGAACCTCGAGGTGGGATGCGGTTGCAAGGAACTCCTGGACCGGGCATCTGGGTCTGGGCGGTCAACGAACGCCCAGGAGCGGAGGGGCGGGAGGGGCTTGCTCAAGGCTGTCTGTCATCTCACCCTTCCAGAAGTTCCAGTTTCCGGCTCCCCGTCCCGTGATCCTTTGAGGCCAATGGATAGGGGGGTAAGATAGGTTGGTAACGTTAAGCTGTGACCGCTCTGACAGCTCTGAAAGCTACGAAAACTAAGCCAATCGCAATACACTAATTCAATTGAGGGGTCTGGGCATGCGGCCGACTCCAACAGACCGACCCCGTTACCGCATGCCCAGACCAATGAAGCTGAGGTACGGATATAGGGTCGGACTGTAAGACTGTTGGACATGGCAAAGCGAATACGACTCTGCTGTGATCGGATAGGTCGTTTTCGCTTTCCAAAGTCCGACTCGGTCCTGCTGGAGCTTTGAGGTGGCTCTTTCCTCTTTAAAACCTTGCCTCCATTGTATAAGTACAAGACTTTCTCAGTAAATACCTGAGTCAATCCGTCGCATCTGTCCATCTAAACACTCAAATACCCCTGGACTAAGACAACCGGCCAGTAACATGGCGAGTGTAGCAGCAACTGGCACTCCGAGCCCGGAGGAGCTCAAATTTCTAGAAATCCAACAGAAATACATCGAGGAAGCGGCCAAGCGTCTCCGCCCGGACGGCCTCGATCAGTTCGTGAGGCTTAAGGACGCAGGGAGTGAGCGGTTCCGTGCTCTGGCCGAGGACCCCTGGGCCGATCATGCCGCCCTGAATGCTCGAGAGCCGGTTAAGGACGGCGCAAAGTACAAATTCCTGATCTCAGGAGCGGGCTACGGCGGTATGCTCTACGCTGTGCAGCTGATCGAGGCCGGGCTTGCGAGCGGGCCCAATGATATCCTGATGGTTGACGCTGCCGGCGGATTTGGCGGCACGTGGTACTGGAACCGATACCCAGGCCTACACTGCGACGTTGAGAGCTATATCTACATGCCCCTGCTCGAGGAAACGGGCTATGTGCCCAAGTACAAATACGCCCCGGGTCCGGAGCTGCTTGAGCATGCCAATCGCATCGCGACCAAGTGGAACCTGCATGACAAGGCGCTTTTTCGGTCAAGCGTGAAGAGTGCCAGGTGGGACGAGGCATCGCAGCTGTGGAACGTGGACGTCACTGAGGGCCGCGGACCGGGCGAGCCGAGCCGTGAACTCAAACTCCAGGCTCAGTATGTGTTGGTCGCCTGCGGTATCCTCACCAACCCGCATATCCCCAAGATCCCCGGTCTCGAGACCCTTTCTGGCGACATATTTCACACGGCCCGCTGGAACTACTCTGTCACCGGCGGAAGCCCCGAGGATCCTTCCCTCACGGGCCTGCAGGGGAAGCGGGTGGGTATCATCGGCACGGGGGCCACCGCCATCCAAATCGTGCCCCGTCTGGCCAAGTGGGCAAAGGAGTTGTATGTGTTCCAGCGGACGCCGTCGGCTGTGTCCTGGCGCGGCCAACGCCCTACTGACCCCGAGGAATGGTAAGCAAGAAAGTGCTCTGTGTGGCAAGATTTCAAGTCAACTGTTTCTCACCAATATCTGAACAACAGGAAATCAAAAATCGCCTACAAGAAGGGCTGGCAGCTGGAACGGATGCTCAACTTCGACTCGTACATGACTAACGGGGCCAAGGAGGGCCAGGAGAACATGGTCGCAGACGGCTGGACCGAAATGCCGGCCTTTTCCGCCGTGATTGGCTCGCCGGCTGCTGCAACCCTCGTGCCCACATCCGAGGAGATCGGGAAGCACGTCGGAAGGCTGTACCAGCTCGACCTGCCCAGCAGAGAAGCCGTGCGGGCCCGGGCCGACAGCATCGTCCACAGCCCCGAAACCGCGGCCAAGCTGAAGCCATGGTATCCGACTTGGTATGCTCCTTCCGTTCGATCATAACGAAGACCTAGGTACCTAACTAAACATCCGACATATAGGTGCAAACGACCGTGCTTCAGCGATGAGTACCTCCAGACCTTCAACCTGCCTAACGTGCACCTCGTGGACACGGACGGAAAAGGCGTCGATTCGGCAACACCAACCGGCCTGGTGGTCGCCGGAAAGGAGTACCCCCTGGACGTGCTGATCCTCAGCACGGGCTACGTGACGCCCAGCATCGGCAGCGGCAACCCGGCGACGCGCGCGGGCATGCAGATCTACGGCCGCGGAGGCCGCTCGCTGGACGACAAGTGGCAGAACCACGGCGCCGCGACCCTCCACGGCGTGTGCACCAACGGCTTCCCCAACCTCTTCTTCTCCCCCGTGGCCCAATCCGGCCAGGCTGTCAACAATGTCTTCAGCATTGGCGCCGGGTCCGAGCATGCTGTGCATATCATTGCCAAGGCTGAGGCCAAGGCTGGTGCTGGCGCCATTGTAGAGGTGACGAGCGAGGCGGAGGAGGCGTGGACCATGGAGATCTTGAAGAGGGCTGCTTGGTTCGCGGGTGTCGGGGGCTGCACGCCGGGTTATATCACGGCCGAGGGCGAGTTTACGAGAATCTCGGGGGATCCCGCGGAAATGATGAAGAGGAGCAGAACCACCCCTTGGGGCGAGGGCATGGAGTCGTTCTTGAATGTCTTGCGGGCCTACCGCGCAGAGGGATCGCTTAAGGGGATCGAGATTGCAGCAAGGGCTGCCTAGACGGTTTATGGGGATTGTGTCCAGGACGGTGGTATTCCTTGACAAGCGCTGAGTTCCAGTTATTCTTTGGATTGATATTCCACAAAAGATGAAGAGATCACATGGTTCATGGGACCTTGCTATGGGCCGATAGCTGTATCTGAAACTTACCAGGGCCGGGCTATAAACCGAAACTTTCAAGTTTCCACGATCCGTGGGGTTAATCAATGATCACTCACCTACATACATCCATATAGCAGCCAATGTAGAATCGCTCTACTTTGCCTGGCCAATAGGTTTTGCTAGCAGGACTGATATGTTGGTCTAAGCAGCCATTTCCATCAAGACCGATATCATATATGCCAGAGTCCGAGTCCCGTAAGCCCAACGTTACATGCGGGTATTCTAGACCCAGGTCGGGAGCTTATATGCATCGAGTAGCATTCGACTTTAATATCCTGGCCCGTTGGCCGGCGTCCCTCACAAGAATTAGCCAATTGTCTTGCCAGGCGGGCCGGGAGGAGAAACTCGGCATATGGTCAATGGTCATGTCTGGTCGATCCGGATAAGAGATTCCCTACCCCAACGTCCAGTGACCATTGGGAGAGGAAGTTTACGGGTACATTGGTGATGCGTGCCTCGACGAGATGATAGACATTCTTTCGTCTGTCTCCCACTGCCCATCCCTGTACTACTCCTATCAACAGATACAGGTACTGCTCGACCGGCCAACATGACGGCCGACAACCATCCGACGCGCCGCAGCCGGTTCCTAGCCGAGAAGCGCGTCATCTTCATTTGCTTCCTGATCGCGCTCGGGCAGTTCCAGTACGGCTACGACTCGGCCGCCATCGCGGGCTTCCAGAGCATGCCGGGCTTCCTCGAGGTCTACGGCTACGTCGACCCGACCAACCCCATCGGGCTCAACATCAGCACTGACGTGCAGCAGTGGATCCAATCCCTCATGAACCTGGGTGGCTTCGTGTCGGCCGTCGTCATGTATGCCTCGCACACGCGCCTCTCGCGGCGCGTCGGGCTGTGGCTCGGCTGCTTCCTCGGCTTCCTGTCCATCTCGCTTATGCTGGGCGTGACCAACCTGGGCGGCCTCTACGCCGGCCGCCTGCTGCTGGGCATGTCCAACGGGTTTCTGGTGCCCTACTGCGTCACCTACATGACCGAGTCGGCCCCTTCGCTGCTGCGGGGCCCCATCGTCGGCATGAGCACCTTCCAGACGTCGCTGGGCGCCCTGTTCGGCATCCTGGTTGACAACTACTGCGAGCCCTACGGCGGCGCCGTCTCGTGGCAGATCCCGCTGGGCATCATGTACGTGGTGCCGGCCTTCATGGCGGTGCTGCTGGTTTTCTTGCCCGACACGCCGCGCTTCTACGTGACGCGGGGCGAGGACGACAAGGCGATGCGTGCCATCCGCAGGCTGCGCGGCATCAAGGACGAAGCATTCCTTCGCGCTGAGGTCGACGATATCAAGAGCGCGTACCTCATGGAGAAGGAGCTCCATGCCGGCGTCCACCTCAGCGACATGTTCCGCGGCCCGGACCTGCGGCGCACGCTGCTCTCGTACGGAGCCAACATTGGCGGGACGGCAACGGGCGTCAGCTTCATGTCGGGGTTTTCCGTTTATCTGTTCGTCCAGGCCAGAGTCGGCTCCCCGTTTGTCTGGGTCATGATAACTCTGGCCATTGCCTTGACGGGCAACATGCTGGCCTTCCCGGCCATGCGCTACTTTGGCCGGCGCGAGCTGCTGATATGGTCCTCAGTGGTGTCGGGCGCCATGATGTTTGGTATGGCCATCGGCTATACCGTCTCAAACGGGCAGTCATCCCAGGCGAGCAAAGCGCTGGTCGGGCTGAGCATTGTGTACACGTGGGTGTATGGCGTGGGCCAGGGGCCAGTGCTGTGGGCATTGGGAACCGAGATCCCGTCGCAACGGCTGCGGTCCCAAACCGTGGGCACAGCTTCGGGTCTGAACTTCATCGTGGGCTGGTTGACGTCTTTTACGACCCCTTACTTCATCAATCCTGACCGGCTGGGATGGGGCCCAAAGTACTGCTACATATGGGGCGGAAGCAATCTCATTTTGGCTCTGTGGACATACCTCTATGTTCCCGAGACCAAGGGACGGAGTTTGGAGCAGCTGGATGAGCTTTTCGAGAAGAGAGTCAGTGCGAGAAAATTTTCGTCATTCGTCGTCGAACGGCAGCTGGTAGACGACTTTACCGGTGAGACCACGGGAGATGTTGAAGTTGCAGAGCATCGTCCAGATGCTAAAGACAACGAAGCTGCAGCGGTGCAAGTTGACAACGCGGAAAAAAGGTACGGGAGGTAAAAGGTTTCGAAAAAATCGGGCATATTATAGTGAGGGCGTCAACCGGCAGCGAAGAGCGTGGTCATTGAGATCTGAAACTTCCACGGGAAGATTGAAAGGGAGGCGGGGGAGAGGAGAGTGAGGAGGGGGGGGGTTTATACTGGCGCGAAGCAGTGAGGCTGGGCTGGACTTTCCTCCATCTAGCTCCCGAGGTAGACTGGAGCATCTCGCTCTTGCTGTTATCCAGCCTCAATGCCCACAAGTCGCGACTGCTGGCGGGTCAAGCTGAGAGGTGAAGGACAAGCCCTGTCGCTGTTCTGTTTGACTCTTGATGCGGCAATTGAGTCATTTCGTGAGCTCTGGGCGGGTCACCCTCAACGCTCTCAACTCTCAAGGCCTCGTCCGAGTTGTTCTCAACCTCGAACTTGGACAAGAGCTTTTCTGTTGCTTCGCACGTAGGGCAGGGCGCAACAGTGACCTCTGCACGGCAGTCATCTTGTACATCATACATTGAGAACCGAGAATCGAGTTAGCGCGATATTGTCATCGTGGTAGCTGACGTTCTTGCTGGTCTGGGCGTACAAGAGTCAAAGAGTTCAACGAGCATACCCAACACTTTGTTGACGCATCCTCGCACAAGTAGGAACCGCAAGGGGATAATGACACTAGGTAACGCGTGCCCCACTACAGCCCTACGCTTCAAACCAGCGTTCCTAATAAACCAAATAAAGCAAATTGAGCCTTCAACTTGCCTTACTTTACCTTATTTTCTACAACTTTGGCTTGTTTGCTTGTTGCTTTACAGGGAATTGGCTATTTACTAAGACCCTTGGATGAGGTTATTCCAAGTCGAAAAGACAGACAGAGGTAGGAAGTCGGCGACGAAATGATAGAATTAAATGATAGAAAATATCATTAGTATATAGGTAACTAGTCGAATAAGTAGGTAAGTAGTAGCTAATAGAGAGTAGAATATATCATTAGTATTTGAAAATTTTTTCCTAACTAGGTAAAAAGTGGGCCTATTTAAAGTAATTAAATATATAAGAGACTTGATTAGCTTATTTGGCTTACTGGAATGGCCAATTTGGTTTGTCTAATAGGGAGCCGGTTTACGTTACTTTGTTTATACTTGATTTGTTAGGAGCGCTGCTTCAAACACGTCGAGAGGACGTTTTGTAACGAGGGTCGGTCCACATGTTGCAACGAGCTCGCCTGCAGTTACCTACATAAAGAATCATTCAGCTGGAGAGTGGTCTGACTAACAGTATATTCATCGAGAGGCAGTAATGTAGATTGTAGAGTAGTCAAACAATAAAGGGCCAACCATCGGCATTTGAAATTTCCCGACCCTACTCGGCACATCACAGCAAGAGCACTATGGACTTCAGCGAGCCCGAAACTCACATCGGGGGTATTGCAGGCAATCCTGCTCCTGCTCCTACTCTCTAGAGAACTGCTGTAGCAAGTTAAGACACATCTCTCGAAATGCGCAGCAGGCCCCCAGCTATTGTGCTCTTACCTATCATATCCTTCCCACTTGACCGGGTACTCTATCTGCCTCTTTCGTAGCTGATTTCGGCGGTGCTTTGTGTTGGGTTGGGTCGGATGGAGTGAATGACTGGATATCGAGCTGCCTCTTTTGATATAGAGTGTTTTATCACGTCGAAACCTGAGCACCAGAGTGAGTAGATGTACGGGAGATAGCATCTTAAGCTGCGTACAGGGGCCGCAGAACCCTTCCTCATTCTCGAACTGGATCACCGCAGGCGACTGACGGCATTCGCGACAAATAACTTGAGCTCGTCAGTGATTCCACATCCTGTACATGGAGAAATCCAGACTAACGAGGCTCGTATAAGTTGTTTGTGGGGGGTAAAACCCCATTCAACCAGTCTTCAACTTGCTTCAAGTCTCTTTCGACATCCGCCATTGCGCTAGGCCCTCTGTGGAAAAGGCCGGCTGTTGGGATTGTTTGGATTCCACTTCGGACACAAGTGTACTGCTAAGAGCACCGGATCGGGCGGGGTTGCAGTGGAGCGGGGAACCAGGAACTTAATAATGAGTGGGGGTGAATAATTGCGGATTTCGGCTAAACGCTCTTCCGGTCGAAAGGGTACGTACCTACGGAGTAATGCATGATGTACTCCGTACTCCGTACCTTATCCGCCGCATTTGTTGAAGAGGGGAGCAAGGTAATCCTAAGATACCTTATTTACTTCGCGTATACCTACCGACCAAACACTAGGTATTTTAAAATCCGTTTGCGACGCGCGCATTTCCTTCTCTCCCAAACGCTTGCACACCTCCCACATACAATGAGTCGATCCACACCACGCAAGTCGCGGCATCGCCACAACGCGAGCAGCAGCGGGCCTCGTCAGGTCGCCGCGTCCGACTACGAATCCGACGCAGTCTACTACATGGAGCACCGCGAGGCGCCCCCATCCAAGCCCCCGACCCGGGATAACAACGAGCTCTGCCTGAGCGTCTTGCGCCGCTACCAGCCCACCATCCGGTCGCTGCTCGCGGTTGCCTCCAACGCCGTGGTCTACTCCTTCCTTGAGTCGGCCGGCGCCTGGGAGAAGTATGGTGTCGAGGGCACCCTGTTTGTCTGCGACCAAGACCCTATTTCCGCACCGGGCACCGGCCAGGTGTTGCCGCGGGTGTGCGTCTTTGTCCTCAACCGCAGAAGCATGGAAAATTTGGTTGTCGATCTCTTGCGAGTCAGCGATTGCGAAATGACCGGGGAGCTTCTTGTTTTCCGGCTGGACGGCAGCGATGCGGCCGACAGCACCGGAGGTGAAGACGCGGGCACGGGCACGGGCGAGAAGAAGGTCTTTGGCATTTGGATACACGAAGACGAAAGCAACCCCCGGTCAGTCTACACAGGCCTGATCATGAACGCCTGGCAACAAGCCCGTCAGGCCCTGGAGTCGTACCTCCAATCTGCACCAGAGGACTCGGTTGCTGGCAACAACGGTGTGTCGCTCTCGGAGGCTGCGGGTGACGCAACAGAGAGCGATGCTCTCGCTGCAGGGAGGCGCATAAGCGTGACAGACCTCTTTGGGCAGAAGAACGGCGGAGGGTAGGCAGGGTTGGCAAGGCCATGCGGCCGACAGGTTGATGCGTGGTGAACACCAACCCATGATGAACCAGGACAAGCAACTGCCATAGCTGCGACGTCAACCTTCCTACACTCTCCAGAGATAACAACATTCCCCATTCAGGTTTGGCCTTGATCTTTACAGTGTGCAATCTCCCAGTCTCTACTGTGTCTTGGGACCACTTTCCGACAGCTTGAACCGCCTGCGTCGCACACTCTTTCCCTCACTGCGCATCGAATGGCGGCAATCGTCAGCAGCACAATGGGGAATAAGTCGCATTCAACGGATAATTACGACGTATTCGCTGACGCTTGGGAAACTCAACGTAAACTCGTCTCTTCGTTCGATGAGTGGTTGGTTCAGCGAGCCAGTAAAGACGGCGACCGCAGCGGTGTCATTTCCAGAGTGCAGCGACGGCTCAAGGATTATGAGCAATGGCTTCAGGATGCTGGAATGGCTAAGTCAGCGCCCGATGCCATTGAGCCTTGGTCTATGGAGATCCGAACACTCAGGAGCGATGCTGGCTTTGACATCGTCGTTACTGGGCCGCGCATGAATGACAAGGTGGTTATTGCAGCAAAGGACGAGAAAGAGGTCGAGTATCTGACGAGTGTACGTTTGGGAGTTTGCGCACTTCAACTTCTTAATGCTAACACGAATGACTTGATTGCAGGACGAATACCTCGGCTACATGGTGAAGATTGTATGTCGACGGTCTAACGATATTTGTGGCCGGAATGCTTACGTCTGGTATCTCAGTGTCATGCCTTTGAACAGGCCCAAAGGTCCTTGATTTTGTTGTTCAAGGTCGCCCAGCAAACCAATAGCGAGAGTTTAAAGCTCAGGCAAGTGCAAGATTAATATGAATATAGGTCCGTCCCAGGCTTGCTAACACTCTTCTGCTAGCCAACCGGCCGAAGGAACCATACAAACGCACATCCGTCTCCTCCAGGAGTACAACGACGTGAAAGACATTGGGCAGCAGCTGATCGGCCTTATTGCTGAGAACCAGGGGGTTCCGATCAGGACTTTGTACGAAGGCGGGCAATATGGCGTTACTGCCGATGACTGAGCCAATGGATGGGAGAGATACAGATGTACGCAAACGCATTGTTTGATCCGCAGGACCTGGGATCCCTTACGATCGTCTTCGAGGAGTCTAGGTGGATACTGCTATGGTCCGGCCTATACCAGCGGCATTCCTCTTTCCCAAATTGCCAATGATGGATCTATCTAGCCATCCCGTCCAACTAGTCGTCTACACCCGACGTTGGCTGACCGACGCGAGGCTCCTCCCCAACAAACACCCTGAGCGTCACCGGACGGCCTACCCCCGCCGGCAGGCTACAAATGCATTGCCGCTGGCCCCGGTATGGGTAATGAGCATGTCAAACGCGCCATCGTCGTCAAAAATGACGCGGTCAGGCCCCGGCGAGCCCCCGTTATAGACCTTGTAGCTCGACATGATGGGGAACTCGTACCAGGGGCCTGAGGTGGGGAAGTTGAAGCCCTCGTAGTTGTTATACCGGTGCGGGTAGTTGTCTGGTTTCTTTGATCAGAACTCCTTTGTGTAACTCTTCCCCCCAACGGAGGAGCATATCGTGGACAAAGACGTGGATCAACTCACTAACGTCTGACCCGGCCTGCTGCAGAGAGTACCCCCTGTTGAGGGCTGCCGTGATGTGTGTTGACTGGTAGCAGACGCTGCCGCATGTGTAGGCGCACGCCCGAGCCTCGATCTCGCCTTGGGCTTCTGCCACGGGCAGCGGTGACCCGGACACGGCGATGGCCGTGATGAGCGTCAGAAGGGCAGGGAGGAGCTGGGTGGCCGACTGTTAGCAGGGTTGTTACATGCTATATGGAGGGCTTGGTTAAGAGCATTTGTCGAAACTGTATGTAAGTGCATACCTGAACCATTGTGACCAGATGACTGCGCTATGAGATGTTCGACGGCTGTACAAACTGCGACTGCGATGCTCAAGTCTTGGAATCACAGCATGATTTGATCTCACTTATAAGCTTTAGGTGTCGAGGGCGAGTGAGAATCGGCCACGGAGAAGTGTCCGAGAACGGAAGGTTGGTGATACGTCGAGTACCTGTAACTGCTCGGCCTTCTGGACAAATGTGGTGACCGGCAACGATGCAGCTGGTGCAACGCTGTACTTCGAGTTGAGGCTCCAGACTTGAACTGATAAGTAAAACTGTGGGTGGTGTTCCCCGCTCAACCCGTACTACCCCTGATTCTACTGCAGATCAGCAGGAGTGTCACCGAGGGCGGATTGGTATAAGTGACTCCAATGTGGTACCAGCAGTACTACTATTCCTGGTCTTACACCCTTCAGGCCCATTGCCAACAGTCCCTTTCATCTTGAAAAACAAACCCTCGTGTTAGAGTGTTCCTTGCACGGGTTGGCTTCACCGACGCTGATTGGGCTTGGGGCACAGCGGAGTCCCATTCGCGGCTCGATCTAGCGCCGGGTGATCGACAACGGGGTAGCACAAGGATAGCGAATCATATCTCGATACCCGGAGGAGCCAGTACTACTTGACCACCACCTAGCAGCAACGCCCTTGTCCGAACAAGGAAGTTCCTCCAAGACTGAGAGACTCTATCATGCTGCATAGTTAGTACTGGGTGATTGCGTTGGCGGCCTTTTCCAGTTGCAACCCCAGACTCTGCGATCGGGATGCCCCTTCACATAGGGGTGGAGTGGACTGTGGAGGAGTTGAAGTAATGGTGAGAAGGGGTCGGAAAGAAGCGCAGCAGATTCGAATTGGTACTAAGTTAGCAGCAAAAAACTCAAAAGAAAGCAGTCCGAGTCATATAGTAGCTTGATCATTAGTGGAGAGTTGGAACGGAGAACCAGGAGAGCGTAAACGATCAATTCAGCATTCGGGCGAGAGATTGAAGAATGAGACCAGCTCAATAGGTACTACCTGTAGTTACCTTAATTTTGAGACGAATCGTCTGATATCAAGTGCCGTACTATTCGTAGTACCGGCTTACATCTTCATGTTGCGGGCCCCATACCCAGAACTCTGAAGGGTAGAAGAAATTATACTGACCCTGGATGAAAGTCATGGTCCAGGTCTGCCCACAATCTTGATGAACAGGTTGGGAGTTACTGTAGTCCACGGAGGCCTGGGAAGTAGGGACAGCTGCTCCTGAGCCAAAGTTATCATGATCCTCTGGCCCCAGTGCGAGATCTTCCGGGTCAGCATGATCCTCTGGTCCTAGAGCGAGGTCTTCTGGGTCAGACGACGCCTGGTTCCGCTCTTGCTCTCGCAGCTCTTCCCAGATGCACTGTGCACAGTGAGGTGCAAACTCCTCGTCATGGCAGGGATCGAGGAACAGTACCGTCACTATTCCGCAAGCGCACCCCTCCGTCTTGATGCCTGCCGGTTTAGCGCCAAGCATGGGATGGCCCTGGACATGGCAGTAGAGTGGGATTCGATATTCGAGACACATTTTGGACCTCGATTGACTGATAGAATAGTGGTTGGCTGGTGGGTAAGACTTGTAACGGTGACTTGATGGATTGGAAATGGGTTCTCAGAGGCTGGAGAGACTGCTTTTATACTTGGATGCTAACAATGGAAGGATAGCTTTGCCTTTGTATGCCAACATCAAGGACAATGGTATTGATATTCAACAATAGTCCAGAACCTAGGTACTAAACTAAGCATCTGCCCCTTCGAACACTCCCCTTTCAATCCCAAAGGCAGTGACATCCAAGGCGCCGTTGAAGGACTAGTGCGTGCGGAGTGGTTCCCTTACATACCTTAGGTATGGTACAATACAAGCACCTGATCACACTAGCAACATCCTTGATCTACCTGTCTACCTAATCAGTGTGTGACATGCGTCAGTCCCTGTATGGTAGAATGGAACCCCACGAAACCCGGCTCCAATACCTTTGCTAACTCCAGCCCGGAGAAACCTGCAGGATCAACTCCGAACCCACTTCCCGAATGAAATACTACAAACCCTCAACTGGAACCGACCCTGTATCATCCAAGTATCTCTTACAATCCCACGCTCAAAAACAACTCAACGACCCTCCGCTGTTTCTCATCAACCGCCCTCCTCTCCTTTGCGCCCAACCCAGGCTCCAGTCCTCTACAAACCACTCCCTCCGCCCCAAAGATCGCAGCAACCCTCTTCTCCCTAGCGCGTCTCCTTTCTAATGCAGCCAACGCCTCAACAACAGCGGTATTCGCCCCGCCCGGGCCGCCGCGCCGGAAACTAAGCGATCTCCTCCCCGCGCCGAACACGGCTCCCATCCCGCGGGCCGGCGCAGCCGCAGTTGCAGCCGCAGACTCGCCCGTCGCATTTCTGATGGTCTCCAGCTCGGCTTTGCTAAGCGGGGCCAGCTCAGCCACGACGCGAGCAATAGCGGTAGTCAAAAAGACAAAGCAGATGTTGTGGTTTGGTGCTGTTTGGAGGATGTCTAGGATCGTCGTGCGGTCCTTGTCCGCGGCGTCGGAAGGTGTGGCCGAGGACACTGTGGGCGACGTGTTGCTGCTTCCCGTGAGCGAAGGAATCGCAGCCTGCTCGATGCGGTGCCAGAGCGAGGCTGTGATGACGCCGTCGGTCAAACCGCGGAGGAAGAGCAGGAGAGCTTGGGCGACTGCTTCGAGACGCGCAAGGGAGGATGTTTCCGGGGAGAAGGCCGAGCTGATGGGCTGGTCTCGGTCGAGGGCGTCGATGATATCGATGACGAGCGACGTTCGAGTGCTAGGGTCGGCTGATGTGCAGGCCTCTACGGCAAATGGCCACCCTGGATCTGTGGGAATGGCGCAATCGTCGAGCATTTGCGCGTCGGCGAGTGCTCGCTGGGTAATGGTTTCAATGGCCTCGGTTAGTCGGAAGAGCTCTTTTGGGGCGGGGCTGCGAACCGGGAGGTCGTAGGGGATGGAGCCGGCTCGACCGTCCTTGTCAGCCATAGATTGGGCAAAGACTCGGATACCTCCTTCGGGCACGCGGATGAGCTCTTCCACAGAGCGGCCGATACACGTTGGCGTCCAACTGGCTCGAACCAGGATGAAGTGATCCCGGCCGTTGGTAACGCGGAGCACGAGTACTTCTTCCAGACTCTCTTGGCCGTCATTGAGCATCCGGGCATGTGAGAGCTCGTCAACCAGGGCTTTGACTAGGGCATTCCCAGTCTCACCTGGCTCTAGTGTCACTTCGTTGCCTAGTACGGCGGACTCCCCACTGTCGCCAGGCGCGTCATGACGGATGAAAGAGGTTGTCAACCACTGTGGTCGCGACGCATTGCCGTGCCCCGACTCCCCAGTCGTTAGCTTCTCCACAAACGTTACGGTTGCCGGGACACGCCCAGTATTCGCCAATGTGATCGACGCCTCCAGTTTCTTTAAAAATTTGAGTTCCCCAAAATCCACATGAGCTTGGGACCCTGAAGTCGCGTGTCCCTTATGCGCTTCGGGACCGTGGTGGTCGATAACGAGGGTTATTACTGGCCGGCCCTCATTCTCCGCTCGATCCAGCTCTCGAGCAACCTCTGCATGAACCTTTGCCTTCAATTCGGGAACCACAGCGTCGTAGTCAAGTGTAAATATAGCGCTAACGGGTTTATGGTCTGATGAGGTTATTCGTTGATGAGAGGTATAAAGATCGAGATGTATCCTGTCCATCCCTTCCTGCCTACCAGGCTGGTGGTCGTCTCCCTCGGCATAGTCGTCATGTTCATCGTACCCAATATCCGCTGAGCTTGGCCGTTCATCGCCGTCCTTGTCGGGGTCGTAAGAAAAGCCGTCCTTATCCGGGTCGTAGTCAAAGAGTACGTCGTCATCATCACTAGCATCCTCCATGCCCCGAGCCTTCATCTCCTCGTCCTTCTTGCGCGACTCTTCTTCCTCTTTGGCTTTCCGGTCATACGCCTGCTTGTCTCTGCGCGTGCGATACAGGATCCGGTCACACCAACTAGGCGGCCGTCGCTTTTCGCTGGAATCGAAGAGAGCCACACTCCCAACATCGTACTTGTAGGTTGGTAGGAAAGTAATGGGACCCTCTCGCCAGCCATCATGGAAGACCTTGCGTTCTTTTATCAAGCGTCTTAGTTGGTCGTGTGGGAGTAACGAGTCGAGCGTCGCTTGTAGGGAAGTCGGGTCTTCGTGCGGGTCCTGAGGGCTTTCATCTTGATCCTCAAGGGGAGACTCGTCGGCAATGGCTCTAGTATCGTTCGTCTTGTCTTTCGTGTGGTCGACGGTGAGTTGCTCAGTAGGATCGCTATCGCTGGCCTCAAGCTCGTCACTGCTGTCTGATACTCCCTCGGCATCGACAACGATGGCTTCGCCCTCAAGAGAATCCTCGCGGCGCAGATCCTTTTTGGACAGGTCATATTCGCCTCGTGTATGGAGCATCAGCAGCCGCCTGATGTCATCCCCTGGAAGACTGTCGAGCCGACAGTTCAGGTCACCGAACCAAAACGCAAAGTCCTCATCGCCAATCCTGCTCTTTTCCTCCTCCGAGACACCGGAGATGGTAACGGACTCGAACTGGGCGCTGTTCAGAATGTGTTGGGCTTGGGCTACGCGCTGTTTAAGGTTATACTCGGTGATTCCGCTCGCTAGATGGCAGTTGACAAATACCAGGCGCGTAGCTTCACCAAGGAGGATGCGTGTGCATACAGCGCCTTTATTTCCTAGATAGCCCAGAGCGCCGGTTGCGACGCTGGAAACACTTGTATTGCTGATGGTGGGGGCGACTTCGGAAGCGGCGTACACTAGGAGCAGCAAGCCGGCCAGTTGCTCGGCCACAACGAGTTGGTAGCCCTCAGGCAATGCGGCCTGCAGAGCCGCCTTCCACTTATCCGTGGCTGTAGTGTCGGCCGCATAAATCCACGTCATATACTGTCCGGGGGCGGACAGGAGGTTGACCTCTTGGAGCCCCAGAACGTAGAGTCCGATTTTGTCATCCCCTACGAGTTGTATATGGTCTGTACCATCCTCCGTGCCGCAATCCCTTGCCCGGGGTTCCTTTGCGGCACCATCGGGCGCGGGTGAGGAGCCAAGTGCGGGGTCCAGCCCCTTGCCATCGACGAACCACCTCGCCAGGTCCTTATCTGTTCCAGGGCATGCGGCGACATTCCAAGTGCCAATCTTTATACGGATGCGATGTTTACGAATGTACTCTTGGCGGCGGGCATGAACAGCCTTGTGAAGAGAGTAAGGATTTGTCGAGGTCAGGTCTCCGGAATCGGTGTTCGTCAAGTCGGCAGTCGGAACTTCGGCGTTGTCCATGACAACCCGGCGTTAGAAGGAATGGTTCGACGTTGGCGCGGTTGGCGGACCCAAACAGACGTGAAGCTAAGCAAACTGCAAAATCGATATGGTGCAAGGTTCTGGCCCTGTCTTCGCCAACTCGACGCCGTTGTTCAACGAGACGACATGGGATGCGATCGACGCGAAGGAAATGTTGAACTGGGACATGGAGAGGAAGGCGGAGCAACTTCAGATTATATAGTAATTAACAAAGGTTGTCTGACAAACGGTGATGGGCGAAAGAGGACATGAGAGGATCATGAATTTGCAACCCGACACTTGGGACGATGTTGATGGCGTTTGTTGCAAGAGAGAAGGTGCAAGACACGGGAACCCAGCGACGCACCTCGGTGGTTACTGCATGGGGTCGTGGGGCTGTTACCGTAGTGTGGGGTCAGCCTTGTTACACTAGCCGTGCCAAGGCGCCTCGGCTTACATCATGCGGGGCACCTCGATCTAAACCCCGCTCCCAACCCTAACGTTCCAGCCTAACACGGCTGATAAACTTCCCAAAAAACACCGTCACAGCAGGAGGCGGCCTCGAGGCGGCTAATAAACTCAAAATGGTCACTTCCCGCCCATTAACCTCCCGCTCCTGGGTACTTGCTGCGCTGAACTGTCAAGTCTTGCGTTTGCAAGTAAGTGCCCCAGGCTGATCATCAGGAAGCGGCCCGAGCCTGTTACTATAACTTCGAGTCTTCAAGTTTGTAATCAGACGGCCAACCGCTTCGCTTCTCCGTCTGGCGAACAGCTGACAAAGCGCCAGCGGCCAGAATGCCACATTGGCACGGCCCGGTTCATGATGAATCTGGCGACGCCTTTCAGAGGCGGGAATACACCGTGCCACATGCCGCCTTCAAACTCAACCGTCTCCATGTTCAGGAAAAAGACGGGCAGCGTGTTGAACACGAAGCTTAGGTTGACTTGCTTCTTGCCTAAGTAGGAGAGGCAGCAAAAGAGTTACTTAAAAGAACTGTCGACGTGCAGACTAGGTACAGATCTCACAGGGGCTGACACTTACCAGCGGCATCAGCAATTGCGAGAATGTCTATCGGCTTGTCTTGGGTGCTGTGATTAGCTAGTGCTGCGATGGCAACCGGCTCGGATGTCAAGTGTCTGTGGAGTGGCTCCTTGAATTCGTCCATGGTGGCGATTAGTTCGGTGGATGAGAAGTCGGCGCCCTCCTCCAGGAGATAGGTTTTGAGTCGCTCCATGCCGCCCATGAAGGCCTCATGTTCGTGGACGGCGTCCTCCATCAAAGCAGTTTGGCCAGCGGCCTTGTTGATGTTTGGGAAAAGCTCCGTCTCTTCATAATGATGGTGAGTCGCGACGCAGTCAATCCAGGCCAGGCAGTAGCCGACAAAGTCGGTCTTGTCTGCACGTTCGCAAAGTCGAGGAGCTTGCTGATAGATGGTGTTGAAGCCGCGGATAAAGGCGTTGTGGCTGAGGGCCATATGGGAAGCCTCGATCGTGAATGGATCATCCTGGAGTATAAGAGGGCGGTGTGAGTAACATAGTATCGCTAACAGCTGATGGCAAGAGAAACGATTCGGGCGATAGCGGTCGGCTACATTACGCACCCTGCCTGTTTGGAACTTTGGCGTCGGAATGAGCGCCAGCGGTGTATCGGAATACATGGGCGGCTCATTACTCGGCATTTTCAGCTACCCAGGCTGTCCGTTGAATCGTTGACGATACGTAACCTTCAAGTTGACAGGCCTTCGTCTGCCAAGCAGGAGGTGGTGATATTGTACTTGTATTTTCACCCAAGAAGGAGGACGAACACTGGGGACATGAAGCGGGCGTCTACAGTACATATATAAGCTACAATTACAAAGGATTTCGCCCCTGTTGAGCAGGAATTGGTAGGATCACTAGCGCTTGGCAACAACCAACAACCAACAACCAACTAAAAATGATGGTAGGGCCAATGGACGCCAGATGTCAGCCCTGTCGAGGAGGAGTCCAATATCTAGTACCGCCAATACTTAGTGGCTAAAGGCGTACTTTGGTTGGCTGTCGTTGAATAGGTGGTTGGAGGAGTATCTATAGTAGCGCCGATTCTAACGCTTCCTCCTATCGAGTAAGTATTAGCGGTAGGATGACTACATCTAGCCTTTGGCAAGGACAAATCGTCAACTACCTACTATATACCTACATAGTATGATAGTAGGGACTGATTCGAATACGCAAGGTACAGATATATATCTACCTACCTACTACCTAGGTGGCGCAAGTGACGAGTTTCTGCGTCTAAGCCCGGCATGCTCGCGGAAGAAAAGCGTTGAAGACGCCAACCCCGCCCGCTCCCTGCATAATACCGCCGCCGGGAATGTAAACCTTGCCCCCTGCTGCAACTGCCGATGTCCCATGACGGGGAACTTGCATTGCCGGCAGCCTCGTCCACGTGTCCGTCACAGAATCGTACATTTCGGTCTGATTGAAGACACCGGCACTGTTTGGCGCCGGGTTCCCTTCACCCCCAAACGTATAGATCCTCCGACCGATCGCCGCGCCTGTCAACCCGCCCCTTGCCGTGGGCATCCTTGCTGTGCTTGTCTTCCACCCCGCCGCGAGATCGGCCAGGTCGAGGATGAAGACCGTGTCCTTGACATTCGTCTGGCCATTCTCGCGCCCACCGAGAACGTAGAACTTGGTGCCAATCTGGGCGTACGCCATGTGGTCGCGCCCAGCAGGGAGGCGAGCTGCCGGCTCTGGAACCGGCATCCACTCGTCAGAGGGGATGTGGTACGCCGAGACAATATCTACCGTTGGTCCATTGATGGTCCTCTCGCCTCCAGCGAGATAAATGGTCCCGTTGTGAACGGCCGAAGCGGCGCTGCCTCTGGCCTCGCCCGTGGGCATACCGGCGATCGGACTCCAGGAGTCGTTCTGCACATCATAGACATATGCAGCCGAGGTGGCTACCCAGGGGAAGGAGCCCGCCAAGCCTCCCAGGACGTACAGCTTTCCACCGTGGGCCGCTGTGTTTGGGTGATTCAGGGGTACAGGAATCGGGGCTCCGTGACTCCAGGTATTGCTCGGTATATCGTACAGCAGCAGGTCGTTCGCCGTGGTTGTGTTCGTGTAAATACCCCCGACCGTTGCAAGTAGGGTTTCTGAGAGGAGAACGGTTGAATGTTCTTGGATGGTGCCGATGGGAATCGGGGCCAAGTCGATCCACGTTTGGGCGAGCACAGGCTTCAGAGCGTGGGGGGCAATAGCAAGCCAGCCCATAAGTCGGTGATTAGCAACGTTATACATTCTGGCGGGAAGTAGCCTCTCCAGTCACCGTGGTGAGTCGCTGTAGTTTCATGAAATCGATGGACCAACGCTAAGGGCTGGGATCTACCAGACTGTATACTGTGCCAGGCAGTGAGGGAGACTGGAGTTGGGCCAGTTGAGTCGGAGGTATCATGCGGGGATAATGTCACATAACCCCGCGATTCCCGGTCAATATAGGTATATGAAGATGCCTGCATGAAGGATCCTTGGAGGCTGTGCTGGCATACGTAATATCAATCGTCATCTATAAGCCCGAAGAAAGTTGTGCCCGCATGTGGCAGTTGAAAAGCTCCCTATCAGCATGCTGTGCTACTTGGCCCTTCACCGCCTACACATCCACATTGCCATAGAAACCCAATTCTTGTTGCTTTGTCCCGTATGAGGTGGATGACGTTTGCTCCGCAAGGACAGCTCTTCTACTATATGGGGTTGGATATAGCCTGAGGTTGAAGCCAGATGATGAAGTACTCTGAATTTGCTACCGACAGAGGTTCAGCCGATGTTGGAACGGAAAGACAATCTAGGTACCTAGGTACCTAGTATGGATGGACTATAGATTGGAGCGAAATCTTCTGAAGTGAGGGACCATGAAGCAACA